AAGTTCCAGGTATGTTAGACAATTTGTAATGACTTGTTTGTCATAGAATCCTCATTTGAGTTCTTTCCATTTCATTAGCACACACTATTCCACTTCTATCCGTAGGTTAGTGAAAGTGCCTTTGTCATCCCAGTATGCTCAAAGAATACATATTTCTGCTGTTCTTTTGTCTATTCTTCTGTGGAAGTTATGAGTGATCAATATGCACTAGCAGTTCCCCATTTCCTAACCTCTGATAACGTGTGTGAGCATGATTCAGCTTCTGCTACTAAAAATATTCAAGCTGAAATCTGCAGGTTTCTAAAAGTTTTGTTTCTTTGTGAACTATTAATTCTATATATAAATGTTTGAGATGAAATTCTTCAACCTTCTAGCCCACCTGCCTTGTAACTTCCTGTCCCATGCTGACAAGATTTATGCAGAGGCTTGACAAGCATTTCTTTCTTATTTAATCTCTCACACTGTTTTGTTCACTGTGTAGGATTGATTAGGGAAGTAATTGAGCTTTGTGAGCACTAAGGAATGGATACCTTTTGTGAAGGTCTGAAACTTTATTATCTAAACAGCAGGATGGCACAGAGTATTTCAGAACATAATTTAAGTTAATTAGTAATGAGGCCTGAGCCTTCTATGCAATAACTGTGTGGCTTTGACAGTGAAACCTATGACCTGCAGATCAGGATCTTATATGAGCCCTGAGTTGACCATGATGAGGTGACAGATTGCATAATAATCTCCAGTGATGCTGGGAACATCATGATTGTAGGCCATTTTCACAAATGATGGTTAATACTTTCCCCAATACTTTGTCAAAAGTGAGTTTTTGCCTATTCTATCAAGAAGTCATAGACATAGAAAGCCAAAATAAAATAGGTGTGTAAATTTTATAGAACTAACTGGAGACCAATAACTCATATGCTTTTTGTCATTATTTCTAGTGTTCATATTTACAGAAGGTAAAATAAGCAGCATGATTCTGTTGTTTAAAACCTTAAGCCTTAGGATTAGAGAGGTAGCAGAGAAGTTAAGATCACTTGTGGCTGCCGGGCGGTGGTGGGGCACGACTTTAATCCCAGCACTTGGGAGGCAGAGCCAGGCGGATTTCTGAGTTCAAGGCCAGCCTGGTCTACAGAGTGAGTTCCAGGACAGCCAGGGCTACACAGAGAAACCCTGTCTCGAAAAAAAAACAACAAACAAACAAACAAACAAACAAAAACAAAAAACATCACTTGTGGCTCTTGAATAGAACCTGGGTTTAGTTCATAGTACCCATACTGTCTCACTATATGTATATGTATGTGTATGTGTATGTGTATGTGTATGTGTATGTGTATGTGTATGTGTATGTGTATGTGTATGT